CTAAGAAGAAAAAAAACAAAACGTAAGTATATCATTGTTATAATATTATATAATTAATGTACATAATTTTTAACACTCGAGTCAGTGAATATAACTACACACACACATACACACACACACACACACACGCGTCCGCATATATTTATATATTTTGTGGTGCAAACGGCCACCGGGCCACTTGGCGATAAAACTGATGATTGGGGTCGAAAGATGTGGTGAGAGGCGTTTGATACTATTTGATATGATGTATTAAGTTCGTATTATGGCGAGGGGGGTCTAAAGTTCAGTGCGGCAGCCACCCTGACCAGGGGAAGGGGTGTGCCCTACGATCTCCAGCTCCGAACTCTGTACGCAGTAGGTTGATCAAATATAATATCTTTGTTACGGTCTCAAACCACACCGACATCGGATTATACATTTATACCAGCCAAAGTATATGACATTATAGTCAGAAAACCTATCTATGTAAGCCGTTAGTCGCGATCGTGAGTGTTGTACGTCTATTGCGTACGTGGTGTGTACCCGCACGACGGTAATGGTTGTGCGTGAGTATAATAATATAATATATTATATAGGTCATATAGAGGTTAGGTTACCAGCTATATACAAATACAAATAATATAATATATTTATGCATATATTTGGTTTTGGCAGACCGACTTGTCTTGTACGATATATATGACCATACCCAACTGTTGGATAAATCTGCCAAAAAAAAAAAAAATAATAATAATAGTAAAAAAATATAAGGTTTGAACGATAATTATAATACTCATCTGTCGGGTGGCACTACTGAGTGCCCTCCCCCATCTGTTATTCTCGATATGTAAATACTATATCTAAATTACTTATTGTACTAAATTGTTGTATGGATTGTAATTATATTTAAAAAAAAAATTATAATACTAGTATAATATTGATAAATGGGTAGGTACCTACATATTATTATATTATGATTTGCTTTATAAAAATTTATTTATAAACAGGTAAGTAGCCTCTAGTAATAATAGTACAGTAAGTAGAATCTCAATTTGGCAAATATAACAGTGAAATTAAATAATATAAATTTTTTAATAAGTTAATAATTTTAAAATTAATCTTATTCCTGTTTATGAATCCTAACCTAACATATTAAATTATATTTTAACTAAAGTATTAATATGAAATATAATACAATTATACATTTTATAATTATAAGTAATAACATTATCTAGACGAGAAAAAGTCATAACACAACAATTATTTATCCTCAGTGAAGGTAAATTTTACGACTCCGAGTAACAATTTTTTTAAGGTTTTACTGTAAAGTTAAACTATCAGTCGGATACTCTTAATAGTCAAACATATTTAATATTTATTTATTATAATATAATTTTTATGTCTGATCTTAAACAGTGTAAATACTTGTATACAAAATCGATCTATTCATGAAAAATTTTCCATTTCATGAAGTTGAAACGGTAAATAATATACTGTGTCCATTAAAAACTCTTATAACAGTAATATAATAATTAATAATAATAATAATAATATATAAATATTTCAATAATTTTAAATATAAAAATACTTATTTAAAAAAATGAAAAATGTTACGCTCAGCAGATCAGGTTAGTTTCAAAAATTGGTGTGAATTGACTCTTAAATATCATAATTTAAATGTAATCATCATCAAGGTAATATCATAGGCTTTTTATTATATTTTAATTTTAAAGCATGTAATGAGTATTTTAAGAAGTAAGATTATATATAAGTATTTGTTTTGGGGTTTTGCTTTCCGATTACTATTAAAAGTTAACTAGATCAACTACACATTTAACCTACTAGAACGCTCAATTAATTTTCTTGCCAACATAATGAGCAAGAAATGTTCACATGCTTTTTGTTTGGCCATAGTCATGGAAATGTGATTTCCAGTATACACCTGGACCTGACCTTCAATCTACATTGTTTTTCAAAGCATACATTACTAATTATTATAATAATACGCAAGAAATAATATCAAGCCTTCTAATTCAATTATATCTCAACATTTATCTTATCACAAGTGTAAACTGTAACACCATTTTTAGAATGCTCTTGTAATTGAAATAGTACATCTTTGAAATAAAGATAAATAAATAAATATTTAATACTTAATAATAAATAAAGATTATTTTGAGTTAGAAATTCCTAAAAATGTTTCTTTTTAAATCTAAAATTTTAAAATGTAATACAAATTTCCTTAAAAGGTTGTCTACCTTTATCAAAAAAAAAAAAAAAATGTCTATAAGAAGTCAAATTAAATTCTTATGAACGTTTGAAGTTCATATTTTTACAACATTCATTGGATTTCTTAATTCTCATGTAGTGATTTTCTTATTTTGTTGTAATTAAAAAATGAATAACCGTAGACTCTTGACATTTATGTCATAGGTTTATTTTATCAATTCCTAAACTTGATAACATTTTCAAAATACCTTGTTAAACAAATGAATTATGACAAATTATCCGATCTATCTACCACGGTGGTGGAATTTCTGCGAATACCCGACAAGGTGAAGCTATTATAGCATTTATAAATTATATGTAAATTGATAAATAATTAAACTATACCTACATAACATTCTCAAATTTTAAATAATGATGGTAATGAATAAAAATATAATTTTTATTGTATTCTTTAAACTACCACGCAATAACTAATAATAATAATAATTCACAAAAGAGTACCGGCCAAGATGTTTTTCTAAGTACTAGACAAATATAATATAATAAAGTTACCGTTGGTGTGCGATATTGAGCGTCGTCACAAGTCCTGCCTTCGCTGAGGCCACGATGATGTTTGGTGATCTCCGGCTAACATGGCACATAAGAAAAATTACTTTAAATTATCGGTAACAAACTTATGTACAGACGTACAGTTGTGTGATTGGCCGGTATTCTTACTTTAGGTAGGTAATTAACTGATGCAGTTTGGGGCCGGTCACGGTCCGCTTATGGTACGTAAGTATATTCATAATAATATAAATATGAGTGAAATATTTGTTGACAATTATTGTGGGAAAAAAATTAACACGCACGTAAACAACTTTTTTTCACCCGGAGCTCATCGTTGGAGTGTGAGAAAATTATACTTATTGCAAAATGGACACGAAAACGAGCAATTTTTCCTGCGAAGTCACCGCAGGGATATTAAATTACCATACTGTTAAGGCGTATCTACAATTTACGGTCCATTGGACTGTATTGGTAAAAACAAATTATGGTAAGCACTTTTGGGTAAAATCGTATCAAAAAACAACGCGATTTGTTATAATTCAACAAAGCTGGTTTAAGGTCTACCATTTAAAATAAAATAAGGGCCAAGGGGTACTTAAAAAAATGACAAAGAAAACTCACTCACCAAACTACGACAGCGTCCTATGTCGGCGGATCTGTCACTAATTGGTGTGTGTGGGATTCGGTGTAGTATAAACGGTGTTAATGACAGAAGTTTTTTATAACAACGATATCTCAAACACATACAAGTATGTATTATATTATAATAAACAACATGCTGCGAAAAAAAAACCATCATTCCAACGCTGAGTTTAATTATTATTATGTTATTAGATATGTAACTACCTACGAACGACACGTATACGATCGTTCGTATCGTAGGTAGGTACATATATATATAAATAGGTATACTCGAATTGTAATTTATTTGAGTAAATGTTTTTGCCGATATTGCTTGGGCGATCGATTACACTAACACGATTTATATATAGCTATTCGGTATAAGAGGAACGAACCTTTGGTAAAATTACTAAAAAAAAATTCAGAATCGAATGTTTGCTTTATGTACGATAATTTACTGTAATTTATTTAACAAGACAATTGACATATTTTGTAGTAAACAAAAGTGATTTTCTAAATTTTAGAGGTTTACTTATTTACATAAAAAGTTACAGGTGTTTATATTGTACCTAATACTAGGAGAAAAAAGTCACAATAATATTAGGTAGATATATATATTATGTAGTATGTAAAAAATTAAATTTTTGCAATTTGCCTCCTCAGCCATGGAGGTTTGGACACGTCTATGGATGTAAGTATGTGACTGTATATTATAACAATAACGTGGTTTTGCAATAGTTGTGAAAAACGGGAGCAAAGTCACCCATAGAAGAGAAAAACGACAGCCGCCGGCAGTGAAAATACGACTTAACAGCCGAACGATGATCGGTGGAGGAGGGGGCAACACTCTTATAGAATGTTCGATATAAGCGCACGGATATCATAAAATATGACATAGCGTCAAAGATGTAAAAATTATGCTAATTTTCCCCGAGACCTCGTAAATATAAATAGAACGATACCGGGCAGGAGTTAGATAGGTAGCGATAGGCGGAGAGGGAACGTTCCGGAGGCATAAAAATGTATTGGCATTACATGCCTATTTGTCTATATGCATTTTACTGAAAATATTATGCTGATTGCTGAAAGCATTTTATGTAATATATATATTATTGATAAAAAAATAAGTATTCAATAAAATTAATATTATATTCTTGCTCTTAACCACATCAATATCTGAACGTCTAACAATAAAAATGAAGCCATTATTAAAAAAGGAAAAAACAGTTGTTTATTTAGGGCAGTTATTACAATGTCTTGCAACATTTTAGAATTAATCATTATTACAGTGTTACCATTACTCTTTAGTTAGGTTACCTTTTCATTGGCTCATATTGAATCAGCTATGAATTGCAGTTGTGCTGATAGCTGCACTTGACAAATTTGTAAATATAATGCAATATTATAATATAAATATATTATAAATTTATAACAGATACATTTGATAATTCATATACATAACAACTGCAGTTTGTTTATCATTTCATAATATTACAACCCATTTTAAATATATAAAAATAAACTACAACACATTTTCGTCGATATCATATTATCCTATACCTAAATACAGCGCTGGCTTTCTCTCGTCAAAACTCAATCAATATTTTAACCGGAACCGTTGGATGTTAATCACATCAGACTCGTCGTTTTTGGCACACCGGAGCCTCCACGTATGGAAAAAGATCGGCCAGGGGTCTTTTTCCAAGGTCTACCTGTCCAAATTTGGAGACGCCGAGAACAATTCAGGCAAACTGATGGCGACAAAAGTGATCAACAAGAACCGCGTTTCCACTAAGTTTGTGGAAAAGTTCTTACCCCGTGAACTAGACGTGATGCTCAAACTCAGACATCCGTATATAGTGAAGGCAAGTTTAATATTATGAAATAGGTGGATATTTTACGTTACGGTGTATTGATGTACATCGATTTAGAATGATAACCAGGGCCTTGCTCCCGAAATAACCAGAACCCGAAAGATTCTATTTTCAAAACCTGCCAAGTCCTGATAATAACAATAATTAAGGTAGGTATACGGTATACCTAATGATATTAGTAGGTACTGCCACACCAATCGCGGATGTAGAAATCTGAAACGGGAGGGAGCTACATTTTTACAGTAAAATACTATTATATAAATATTTGTACATCATAATAGATAATTATAGATAAGAATATCAATTCTGCAATAGGTTTCATGAACAATTACTAGACATTTAACGAATCATTAGTGAGTGTCACTTAAACATGACTTATTGGCCCATAGGTGATAGGTATATTATAATATTATATTCAATTATATTGAACCATTAAATAATTAATACATTTTTCATGCAACTCGATATAATAATATTATTTATATGGATTTTAAATGTATTTATGTTATATATATATATATATATAGATATTATTTAACATACATTTAATATTTCCAAAATGGATCCACACCAAAATATTATCATTTTCTAAATCATAAGCTCTTCTTTTCCTTTTTCTTACCTTATTTATAGTACCCGAAATGAGAGTGTTACATACTTATTTTTAATCATTAACATTTTGTTTTATGTATGTGATGAAAATGCGTCCCACTGTACTCGGTGGTAATATTTAAAATATCCATTCGTTTGGTTGAGATAACTTTGAATCATTGTGTATGTAGGTAGTTTGTATGGTGAATCATGAACTTTATTTAGCCTTTTCGGATAGCCAACCCACGCTAGTGTTCACCGAAAAGATAGATAGTTGTTATTAAATATAGTTGACATATTGAATATAGTAAACCTACTTAATATAGTTGACAATGTTAATGGGATTACCAAACGTCGAAAGTATATAAATAGTATAATATTATATAACATGTCCACCAGTGCAGGTGTACAGCGTGTTCCAGAACGGCTACAAGATCTACATAAATATGGAGTACGCGGAGAACGGCGACATGTTCAAGTACCTCCAGAAGATGGAGCTGACCGAGGCACAAATCCGCTCGTGGTTGTTGCAGATCCTGTGCGCGTTCTCGTACATGCATGGTGTGGGGGTGGTGCACAGGGACCTGAAGTGCGAGAATATACTGTTGACCAGTAGATACAACTTGCGGATAGCCGACTTCGGGTTCGCCAGGTTCGTGGACCGAGGACGAAATCCTGGGGCGGACACGGTGTGCGGCACGATGACCTACTCGGCGCCCGAGCTCCTGTACGGCGAGCGACCTTACAACCCGGTGGCCGTGGACGTGTGGGCGATCGGCGTCGTGCTGTTCATAATGTGCAACAACGTGCCGCCGTTCCGGAAGAGCCACAAGAAAGAGATGCACAGGAAACAGGTGAGCTGCAGTCTAGTTGTAAGTCGTAATGCGCTGCAATGAATACAAATATTCGAATAATTAAAAAAGTAATCGAATACGACGTGTCCTGGATAATATTTTTATTCGTTGAAAAACATCTACTTATATTATTAGCTAGAGAGCCTAGATAATAAAGACTCTCTATTATTGGCCAATATATTATACCATAGAGAGCCTACACATAGAGCTTTAGGCTCTATAACCCAACATAATATAATTATTATAATAGTAGTTAATAGGTCTATGGGTGGCGGCGTGGCGCGGAAACGGTAATAATAATATAATATATCACGGAGTAAAATATTATTATTATTTATGCAGTGGTACTCAGCAGCAGATGCTGATCACTGTTTAAAAAGTTACCTTGAAATAAGAGGAATATTAGAAGATGAAAAACAAAATTATATTATAATATTATAACAACTAATATATTGTATCGTTTAACTAAAAATATTTATTTCAACCTTGAGATTTGTAAGTAGGTATATGCATAATAATAAGTGTACAGTGGCAATACAAACTTATTTTTTTTTTAATCGAGAACAACCGTGTTTTTGTAAACGAATATTAATTAGAACAAGTAGTTTCATAAACCTTAATGTACCAAGGAGCGAGGATAAAAGTAATTTTTAACAGGTTTAGAGGTATATTTTAGGCTATGATTATTTCAGAATTATAGTAATCAATATTAATATATACTAGCATTTTATGATATGTCAAATTTTACTTGATTAAATATTATATATATTTTGTATTTTATATTTAGCACTATAACCATAAACCAGCCATATCTTCTAGTTTTATATTATTTTATAGAATATAGTTAGAAATTTAAAGCTTATATATAAGTTATAACCAGGGCTAGTGAGTTCATGCATTTGCATATCAATCTTGCTAAGTCGTATTTAATGCTAGGTGACATAGAAATCCATTTCAAGGTACTGTGGTTAAGTATGTGAAATTTTATGTTGCATATTTTTGCATATTTAGAGGTTTTTTAACTATTTGGCATATTTATGCGTTTTTCTATTTTACTGTGCATATTTTTACCGAAATTTGATCAAAATGCAATAATTTATATTTTTACACAGTATAAAATATATGGACATTTTCGCAACATCAAATTATTAAAATAGAGCAGATAAAGTGAGTACAAACGTACGTATACGAATGTATAGGTACGTATAGCCCGCATTAAGCAATTAGTAGAAAACATGTTATATGAAAATAGTCTTTACTCTTATAGTCTTATCTGACTTATCTTCTCGATACTTTTACAGAGGTTTACTGGTTTATTCTAGACTTTAACAATATTTCGAAAATCTTATATATTTTTTAACTTCGTTTTAAAATTATCGATCATGCCGAAAAAAAAACTGTCATCGGCCTGTAGACTAAGACAATAATTAGTAAATTAATTTGGTGAAAATATATTCTGGGCCGACAGTAAAATATTATTTTGTAAGGTTTGCGAAGTAAAAGTCGCGAGTGTAAAACGCTTTAGTGCTGTGCAACATATTAATACTGAGAAACACAAAACATCACTTCACCGACTGCAATATAATAAAATATAACTTTTAATAATATGAACGGACATTTTTTGTTATTCCAAAATTTACTTATAGTATTTTTATTTTTTAATCTACATATTTTTAGATTTTTAGTGCATATAAATGCATATTTTTGAACTTTTAAAGGCATATTTCAATGCATATTTTTCCAGCTTTTAGTGCATAAGTGCATACTTATTTGGGCATTTTTTAGAGCATGAACTCACTAGCCCTGGTTATAACAGAGTAGGTACCTAAAGTGGAAGTATCACTATTTAACTTAACACACGTTAACAAAAAAAAAAAAACTTCATTTTAAAACTAATCCATTCCTAACCACCTAGGTACTCTCAAAATCTATAACTGAGCTTGAAACCGATATTAAATACCGATTTTGAATACCGGTTAAACCAGTTAAAAACCAAAATCGATATCGAAACCGAAACCGAAAACGAAATTGAAATAAATATTATCAGTTTCAAGTCCTGTCTATAAGTAAATGTACATACTTTAATGGATGTAATATTGTGTATTTTAAAATACAACCTCTGAAAAATAATCATTTAATATGTTGTAGAACTTTCAAGATACTTACAAGTTAAATAAACAAATAAAAAAAGCAAAAATATAAGTTGTCGATTAAAATCAGACTTGTAAAATCATTAGCAAATTGTATTAATATAACCGAATAATTTTGTTTATAACTACAATAACTAAAACTTACGAAAATAACCAATTTCGATCAAACCTGATAAACACATATTATATCGATGCCCCAGTTCAAAAATGCAACAACTCGAGATATAACAAATCCGAGTTATGTAAACCATCTTATGACAATTTCAGTTGAATAACAAAATAAAATGTAGTTTAATTATTGATCACGAGAGAGCATTTTCAATATTATAATTTACATTAAGTTAAATAGAGATACAATATAAAAACACACATTATACCCAATAAACCAATATTTTGAGTTGTTGCAGTTTTGAACTGGGGCATAATACATCGTTTAAAAAAAAACTCAAAAGTTGTTATTATAGGTAAGTTTTTAGATTTATTGTAAAACATCGTCTGCCACCCCTGGTGATTTACAACTTATAAATGATCGTAGAATCCGAATAAAACAAATTAGGTATTCACATTTTATCGAGGGTCGATGCATATATTTTTAGAAAAACATAGTGTTATATATAAAGCCCGGTCCAGACCAAGAAACATATGTTTTTGACATTGTCGTCGACAAATATTTATGTTACCGCTTATGAGCGGAAATCGGAAACATTGTCGATGACAATGTTGGAAACACTTGTTTCCGACAAAATTTTCTTTGGTGCGTGGACGGGGCTTTAGATATAGTTATAAATGCATGTACATTCGACATTGCTTATTATTTTGTTTACGATCTATATTTGTTAACATATTTGTTACTCTATGGATTTTACAAGTATGACGTAACAATGGTGGTTTTACATTAGTTTACTGTCAAATACAGTGTTGACCGCTAAAACTAAATTGTCCGTACATGATTTAACGGAAACTTGTGTAATGTTGCGTACACTTTAACTTGCTCTCATTAAAAATGTATAGAGAATATAAATATGAATTATAAATAAACAATATTTTCATTCGAACAGAAATCATATGATTTTAATAATAGTATCAAGAAAAATATGTAAAGGAATGCATATTATATTATCAAAACATATACACATATTATGTACAGTGCATACCAAATTTAAACCCTTTTTTTAATTTCTGGGATCTTAGAAATATTACAATAAATAATAAACTTTCCTTATAAGTATATACACTTAACGGGGTGCCCTTCAGAAATCTTAATATAGTCCGTTTAAGGTCGCACTAAATGATCATTGACATCATTGAAATGTGATTTAAATATCTGTATGTCAAATAACAATCTAGTTGTGCCCACGATCTAGTTCTGGTATCAAGTAGAGTTATATAGCTGTTAGGGGACCTATGAGTGAGGGGGTTACAGCACTTTCTACATTTTCAGTTTTCTTTGAACGTATAGTATTAAATAAAATGTAACCAGGCACGGCGTTTAGGGGGGTGGGGGCATAGGGTCTATGGCCACTCTAGACATCATAAACTACCTATAAAATATAAACATTTCATTCAGAAACCTGTATAGAAGTTCATAGTGTTTATAAATTATAATCACAGACTACAAATCCCTCCCCCCCTCTATAAGGTGAATAAAATCCGCTACTGGACGTCTGGACGTAACTATATATCAAAATTATAATTTATACATAAAAGTATAAATTGCGTATATATTCATGGCATCAGCATACTAAACATACGGGTGATCCAGGAATCAGGATCCTAGTTAATAGCCTGTATTATAGCAAATTGTCAGTCAGCCCTCAAATGTCCAAATAAAAATCCTTGCCAACTGACGTAGGCAATAATTATTTATATCACCAAACGTCGTTTGTGGTTACACAAACAGATAAAACGAATTTATATTTAATTTTATGGTTCTTTTATAATATAGTATAATATTGTTATCAGAGTGATTGGTTTAAGGTTTTACAGTAATGTTATTTTTTCTGGAAAACTTTTTGGGGTAGTTGAACACTCGAGATAAATATATAATATAAATAAACAGTAAAAAAGTATAACACCATTTTAAATTATGAATTGAACACAATTCGTAATCGAAACCATTTTTTTTTCAAATTTCTTATTTTCTTTCAACAAGTAAATTAAAAAATTGACGAGTAGGTAAGATGAGAATAAAATATGTTAGTGGGCAAGCAAATATGTTAATAACATTTAAATGAGCAGGCTATTGTTTAGAATAGTTTTTGAATTTAAAAATATTGTGGCGTTTAAGTATAAAATAATAGTAAACCAATGTTCTGCGCTGAATCGAATGAAGTGAGACAAAAAACCAGTATGGGAATCGTTGACGACAGGATAATTTTGTAATGTTTATGACATTTCGTTTCTGAATATCTTCGGTAGTATGTATATCATATTACACGTATAAAGTTAAAAAAATGTTTTCCATAACAATCTAGCACAGCTTTTAATCAATACAAAATGTCAATACTTTAAAGTTTAATATACATTTGGCTTAATACGTGTACTTATATAATATAGATAGACTAAACAAAATTTAAACTAATTATCCGTTTCATTTTTCAATGACAATCGAAAGACGATCGAAAATCTAATATTTCAATTTCATCATTGGAAAATATTTTTGAAAAATGTATTGCATATAATATTAATAGTTATTAAAGAAGGCTATAGAAATGTATTTTTGTAATAACACGTCATACCCTATAGTAGCCTACACATTATAGCACACAGAAAAGCCCTTTCAACCTAATCAGCATGACACGGTAAATCAATATATTATTTAAATCTGGGGTTTTTGCCTAATCTATGATAAAAAATATTCTAATTTATGCCATTAAATTAGAACACATTATGATATTACTGTTGAATAAAAAGTGCGTTTAATTATTATTATATCGACTTTGTATGGATGAATTATGTGTTTTAATTTTGATGAAGTTTTACCCTAATCTGCAGATGGATAAACATTTTGCATTTCGAAGGTCGTCGGGTCGAAGTAGAACGCTGATAGATTTGACTAACACGTTCTTGGAGCCTAATGTTCTGAAGCGCACAAAAATCAAGACAGCTTTGCAACATCCCTGGATCAAAGAAGGCAATATCAAAATGCCCGCGGATGTGGCCATAGCAAACGAAACGATCACGGCCAGTATAAGCGAACCAATAATAACAGAGACTTCATTGAGGGTACCTGAATTTCATTACCAGTTACCGGAATACGAGAAATCAATTAGTACCGACAACGAGTTGTTCACAGCAGTTGTAGAGGAAATCGAGGTTTTTGAACCTAAAACATTGAAACTGAAGAAATGATTTGTTGTATATGTTACGGGTAATGTTAACATTTGGATAATGTCGACATTAGCCAACTGTCATCATAAGCCGCCATGAGTTTTGGTTAATGTTAACATTAACCGGGTAATATTACATTAGCCAAGAACTTTTGAATAATGTCTTAACAATGTATCATACATGAGATGCAATAATTTAAATTATTAACAATATTAATATTATATTTAAGACATAATTGGAAACAACTATAAAGTACATAATATTAATAATATGAGTTTAGTTTTTAATTTTTAACAACCTAACTGGTTTTCAATGATGATTAATGAAATTAGTAATACAATAAGTAATATTATTTTTAGATACTCTTAAATAGTTTTATTTATATTTTTGGGTGATTCTTTTATCAAACAACACTCATTATTTCAAAAAGTGTAAATTTTTTTGAAAATATTTTTTTACATAGTTTCAAGTCGCTTATAAGACACAACGTTTTTATAAAAAAATTATATTTTTAAATATTTTTTATCCTTATAATTTTTTATGTTTTTTACTTTTTTAAATGACAACATAGGGTTTTAATTTTATATTCTAAAGTAGAATATTTTTCTTAGTATTTTGATACATTAAGATAGAATTTGAGGCGAGTAGTTTACGAGTTATAAGTATTTAAAGTTTAGACGAGCGGAGTGGAGTGGTTCGGGGTTACCCCGTGAAATGTTTGTCCACTTCACCGCTCATCAAACTCTGAATATTTATAACTCATAAACTACTCAACCCAAATTCGATTTTCATGTATAAAAATACTAAGAAAAATATTCTGCTTTGGAATATAAAATTAAAACCCTATGTTGTCATTTAAAAAGTAAAAAACATAAAAAATTATAAGGATAAAAAATATTTAAAAATATAATTTTTTTATAAAAACGTTGTTTTATAAGCGACTTGAAAGTTTGGTGCCAACGTCGAATGCTTTGAGCAGTAGGAGCTTCAGTTCCATAAGTTCTTCGAAAATCACGTTGAACGGTTATCGCCGACTCGCACTTATTGAAACGTAAGACGCAAAATGCTTTCTGTTGCTGATTCGCCATAATGAAACAAACTAACGATTCCTAGTTCACTAACCATTACGGTGCCAAATTTATCAACTAGATAACTTAAAATAAACTTAGTTATCTAATCTTTCCATTAAAAATCTAATCTTTCATACCAATGGGTCATTAACCTGCGATTAACCATTGCCGAAATATATCAGTTCGTAATTGGATGAAGACTTTTGAAACACCGTGTACTACATGGATGCTTATTACTTATACTTTTCATGTATTATTCCATATACTTTGTAAAATAATGATGAAATCACTTGTATGCTGCCATCACAAGCTTGGAAATATATTTGAAAAAATCATGAGTTTTCAGGAAAATCGGTAAAAATATGCTAATTTCTCCCAAATTATGATAATATTATTATTTTGATAAAATCTTATACAAATATAATTTCTATGTCAAGATCATGTCTAAAATATTGAAATTCTTAATAATAACATATAACTAGTTTGCAAATAAATCCATCAATCATATCGCGTTAAATATTAAATACAACTATATACACTATAACAGAATATTTCAGTTCTAAATAGTCGACTTACTTCTCTTCAATCTACACTATAATATGACATTATATCAAGTTTTATGACTCAAACATTATATTATGTTAAAACATGTAAACATGTAAACATATTTTCATAAGTTCAATAAAAATGTGTTCAATTTTATTGTAATTATCATAATCTCACTGTAAAAAATAATATATATATATATAACTAATATATTTTACCTTTAAAACCCGGTACATTCGTAGTTACCTTTGCTAAAAGTTATTATTTTTCTTTAAATTGCATAAACTGTATTTATAGAACCAAATTCATTAGCTATATAATATAACATCTATACTATCATTCAAATTTTCATTGATTTTAATCACTATACCTGTCTCGAAATACACAAACCTATAACACGTCGGTTAAGAATGATTTTCAGATTAAATATAAGACCACTATATTTTTGTGATTTTCCATCAATGTAACATAGAAATCGTATATGTATTTGTCTCCAATTATCGTTAAATACATGAAGGTATATTTATACTGATATCATACCCGATCGCTTAGGTATATAATAAAGCATATGATAGGTGGATTGGTACAGATTATATCTTATATGCTTCACTTAACACTCATTTTACACAAAATATTAGGAATTTATTTTTAAGTTTTTCAACTAGATACATAAATATTTTATACATTATTCTATTTACTTTATAAATAATGTAAAACGCATGTTTATTACCATCACAAGTTAGGATATATTCAGAGGCGGACTGGCCAGGGGAGTTGGGGAGATTTATCTCCCTGGGCCGGGCCGGTGTAAATTGAATTATTATTTATTTATGTACGATTATTATTACAATCATTTTTTATGATAAATATACAATGTATATACAATGTATATACAATGTATAATACTGTACTCAGTATGTCATACTGAGTACAGTATTGACAGTGACAGCGTATATTGTATAATCATAGTTTTGGAAAGCCCATCGTTATTATTTTGTTATTAATTGTCTGTTATAATAAATCGATATCGTCTCAATTGTCGTTTGATAAGTGATAACCCATTTCTTGCGAAAAATAAACATATAGCTTTGCTAAAAATAGATTAACGTTATGTTATTATCTGATATGATAATCCTAATCAAAACATGATTATATGAAAGTTTTCCTTATGGCTTGTGCCTTGTGTTTTTGCTTAAACTTTAGTAGTTAAAATAATTTAATAAAAATAAAAATTTTCATTTTCAACTTTTAAACTGGTGCTGCTCGTTAATAATTTTAAAAGATGAGTGCTAAACCGAATTAAACGTCGAGTTAAAGGGGGCGCAGAAAAAGCTCGGCTTAAACGGAATGCCGATTTACAAGCTGCCGCAAACAACCCAAAACAGTTGAGATTATGTTTTCCAATCACATCAAATAATCTTTTAGTACAATCGGTAAGTATTATAAATTACACCTTTATTTATTTTTATTAAAACTATTTTATGCAATATGCACTGTACAATGTACATGTGTGAATTTGTACATGGTGTACATGGTGAATTTATAATTATTGATACCTGGGGGCTGGGACTGTGGTCTGTGACACTGTGGTTAACTATGTAGTTTCAAGAACTTTTTATTAAAAAATAAAAAGAATTGCTCTACTCAAAATGAATAATTGCCAATTGGTATATGTTCTATGTAGTAATAACAATTTAATAATACTTTTTAATTTTACCAACCTGTAATATATAATATTTAGACTTAAAATAAAACACGAGACAAATAATGAAAACGGACCATATTATGGAGTGTGGGTGGTCCGATATGCATATATACGTACGCATTAGACACATATATACCTACAATATACGCACTCCTTTTACATACACGCAGCACCTGCAACACATAAATAATATTCTACACCTCTCCGACCAGATATTTAGTGGAGACAACACAATCAAATATCAACGGCGCCAGTAAACACCGTATATTATAAAATCATGAAAGCATTCTTTCGTATACATATACGTACATCACACGTGTACGTACACATATATATATATTATATACTTCAAGTCCCCTTCGATAATTCTCCAATCAAGACGTTCGGTCAAAACAAAACTATAAATTACCAGGTGTACCGTTGTCACACCACACGAAATAATAAAAATATATCAATACTTTAATCCATGCATAAGAAGAAGGGATCAACCAAAATCACATTATATAAGGGCCACAGAAAATCGACTCCATGCCAGTGTCTATTCCGGAGATGCACAAGGTCCACGCCAGTCAACATCACGATCTTTTTCCACTGCTGTCCAAGCCATATCACTGTGCGTTTATGCGTATACAATATATGTATATTGAACCATTCCTTCACACGGTATGTCTGTCTAAATTGGTTGTCTCTTTATCAGTTAAATTAAAATTGTTCATCTTTTTACACTAACCTATCCATTGGTCTTTCAAAACATAAGGTTCTGTGACAGTCATCATATTATAGGTCTGTCACATCGTTACTACACATTTATGTTTTAGAACACAAGTATAGTAATAAGTGCTCTCTTAACTTAAATTACATTCGGTCAGCGGTTGGACTATACGTACTAGCTGCCACGAGTGTAGGGATTCTAAGAGCTTTATTAGAATATAAGTATAGAAGTAAGTGCTCAATTAACTTAAATTACATTCGGTCGACGGTTGGACTATACGTACTAGCTGCCACGAATGTAGGGATTCTAAGAGCTTTATTAGAATATAAGTATAGAAGTAAGTGCTCAATTAACTTAAATTACATTCGGTCGACGGTTGGACTATACGTACTAGCTGCCACGAGTGTAGGGATTCTAAGAGCTACATTAGAATATAAGTATAGAAGTAAGTGCTCAATTAACTTAAATTACATTCGGTCGACGGTTGGACTATACGTACTAGCTGCCACGAATGTAGGAATTCTAAGAGCTGTGTTCAAGATATAAATGTGTAATACCAAATATTTATCACTCTAAATTACATTCGGTTGGCGGAGAAACTATACGTACTCCTATTGCTAATGCAAGGATTTTAAGAGCATATGATGATAGTCACAGGTAGAAATCATATACGAAATCCTACAGATCACATAAAATAATATACATGTATTGTCATCGTGATATCGACTGTCGAACACGACCCCGAGATTAAGAGTCTCGTGCTCTAAAACAAAAAACAAAACATGGAATATCATACTCACAAAATGATCGAAATTCAAATAAAACGCCACCCAGAATCTCGAAATGACACTAGAAAAACGGACACAACCACATTTTGGAGCACAACTTTGACACCTACATCAACTGTAAACCATGGAAACAGCCAAAAAAACCAACATAATTTTACACAATTCACAGACACATAAACGTATAGGTACACATACATACA